AGTGTTGATATTGCAGGTACCAGGGACATGCCAAGCGTAGACTCAGCCAAGTAGCCGAGTACGTGGTTCGTGATCTTCTTGCGCGTCACCGGCAAGTTGCAGCCTGAGCGAAGGTCAATCCTAGATGGCGGCGAGAACATAGAGGAAAGACGTCGGGTGATGAGGGAAGCCACGGGGCCCTTGCCCTCGCCGCTTGCGGTACCTCCTCCGCAGCTGCACCAGCTCTGGTCTTCTCCGCTGCCGTACTTGCAATGAGATCATATCGATAGTACCCACGGATCGACGCACGGGTGGCGCAACTGCCTCAAGGCAGAGGAGGGAAAAATGGGTTCGAGTTTGTCGAAGTCTGCCTGTAATCCGGGGGCGCATACGCCGAGTTTGATCCTTCACATGCTCCTTACTATGCTCCTACAGTCCCGCAACTCGTGACCAGGCTCGCGAACATAAGTGTCTCAGGTATACTCACGGTTTCGATGCGTGCAAGGAGCGCTTCAAGCCCGAAAGACGAGGGCAACGATCCTTCAAGGCAGTCAGGACGGCTCTAAATGAGAAAGAGCGGTTACGCACAATCGCGCACGCCAACTTCGCCGCCGTCCACAATTTCCCAGCCATTCACTCGCCGGTACCTCCATCTATTCCTCGCTACTAAGGATACCTCGCCATGTTGATATCTCTGATCGAACCAAAGGCCGTAACATCCCAGCGCACGACGCCTGCGGGAGGCACAAGTCCTGCTCAAGGCCACGATAGCCGGGGCCCAGTGGTGCACGCTGAGAACATGGAGCGAGAGCGAGGGCAAACGTCTTGAGATCAACCGCAGGGGCCTTGATACCGGCGTCGGCGTCGGCGTTGGAGACGACCTTGGCACACCATTCAGCTTGCAGCGACATCTTCCAAAGCCTCCCGTGCGCCGCCTCGTCTCCACCTCATTAAACTTCTTGCGATCAGTCTGCTTCGTCTGTTTCTGTTCGCTGTCATCGACGCGCCGCGTCGTTGCTTGCTATCTTGAAGCCCAGAGAGACAGCAAAAGTCAGCGTCTGTATTGCTACAGCGTACATTAGACAATGAGCTCGCATACCTGCTGATCGTGAGGCAGAACCTGGTGCGCGACCTCGGCGCGCATCCATCCAGAGGAGCGTCGCCCGGTGGGGCGCGTAGAACTGCGCCAAAGTGCATGTGGGTAGATTGGCGAGGTCTGGTAGCGACGGAATGCGGCCACAGAGATCACAGCAATGGTGAGCACAACGTTGACATAGATGAAGAAGTACGAACCAAGGACGACTCAGAGATGGCCCGCGACGTGGCTTTCAGCAAGAAGCTAAGCTCGAGTGTACTCGACTGCGGAGGCGAGTACCGGGGGCATGCAGATGTCCTAAGCAAATGCTGCGCGTAGAGATGGATAGCAGCGAAGGCTGGACATGTTGATAGGATGAAGGTGGGCGGCAGAGGGCAAGCTTCGAGGACGGGTCGTCCCATCATCGTATAAGCGCCCGCGTTGTGGCACGGTAGTTCGTAGTCGGCTCCGGCTCCTACTCCGTCACGGTCACGCTCCCTAGACTCGACTAGACTTCTCTCTTAGTCTGTCACGTCCGTTCCCTGCTGCTTCTCTGGAGACAATTTTGTGTCTGTGCTGTTTTATCTGCCTTTCAGTCCACCCTGCATAATCATCTACATACAAACTCGAAGTCACAAGGTATCATGATAACGTATGGAATTATAAAATGAAGTGAGAAGGTTGAGCGAGGCGTACAGGTGCTCTTCGAGAGACCTAGACTAGAAACATAAAGAGAAGTGGCCGAACCTAGGGGCCGTACGCAACGTCCGAGAAAGAGGACAGCCTGAGACAAGATACATAAACCACATAAAGCAAAGCAAATGCCCCAATACGGGGTGACCATCTGCGCATTGGCAGCGTTCTGTCAATAACCCGCGCAGCGTAAGCGTCTGACCTCAGTGCAACTGTCCCAAAATCATCTTCCCCCGCACCTGAGGAGAATCTTCGCCGGTTCTTGGGTCTTCTTCTCCCTGTTGCTCCTTCGCTTCTCTTCATCCACAATCTTCCCCGAATCCGATGCGACACCCTAGGCTCTCCACAGCGGGAGGTGCTTCTTCCTTGCCCCAAAGTTTGTTTGCTCGCCCGGCAGTGCGCCCTGCGCGCACCCGATGTTCACGCCGGCCCTTTGTCTCCATCGCCGGGTCCGCCTCGTGTCCGCCGCC